AACGTCTTCAAATCTTGAAAACCAAGTCCAGTGGATATTTTTTGATATTTTACGTAATGACTGTGACCTGGATGACTGGGAATCTTCATCAGCTTAAATGCAGAGAGTAAATTTTGTTGTGATAGTATAATGACAATAACACGCTGGAATATAGAGTAACACTGTAGCTCTAGGGGCTCTAGATCTGAAAATTCCAGCTTTATCTCCCTTTTAACACTGTACACAACATTTCCGAGCCTCTCCACGCGTTTTGGAGTCTGCTAGCAGACCATTTTGAACCAGCAGACTGAGTCTAGCTCCCAAAAATCAAATCTAAAATATCTTGCATGCAAAACTAAATTCTGTGTCCGACTCCCGGTTGTCCCTGGAAGAGGCGGCGCTTAGGAGACATCCGATCAGATACCAGAACTTTACTTAGCTCCTAACTTTGGAGGTGGTCCCAGGTCCTCCAGTTTCTCCTATTAGCAAGTATTTAATATGCATGTTTACAAGAGCATTTAGAGATGTTTTGGTTTGAATGTTTTTGAAAACGTCGACAATTAAAATCTAAAACCAAATGAAACTGGCCCAGTAATGAAGTAAGTTGCAGCTTTTGGAGAGTTATACCTTTTAAAGTACCTCATGCAGCTTCAGTGATAGTGCTGGCAGTGTTAGTGTGCTCCCTTCAGGCTTTAAGAGCTGTGAAATTATCTTGTGAATTAGTACATTTGTTATATTTTAATAAGTGGAGTTCAGTTTTATTGAATTTCTCTTTACATGTGTTTATTCAGAGCTCTATGAGAAGGACTTTGGTGGACAAACGGCGATCTACTGGGAAGTGAAATACCCGTTTCCTCTGTCAAACAGAGATGTATCCTTTGGCTCTGTTACAATCCTTTTTTTCTCATGGCTGTTCAACAGTTCGGTTCAAATAAATAAGTATTTTTTCTTAAAACAATGGATTTTTTTTCTTGAATTTGAGGAGGTACACTGGAAAAAATGGAAATCTAGAAAGGTAATTTTTTTTCCTAAAATAAGTGCATTCTTTCTTGAATTGTGGAGGTAATTTAGACACTTTATAGAACAAGACAATTTACATTTAAAATAAGAAAAATAAAATTGAATCGACTTATATCAAGTTTATATAATCAGACCCTAATTTTAAGTGTAAAAATACTAATTCTATTAGCAAATTGTCTTATTTACCTACTCAAATTAAGGGAAAATACACTTAATTTAAGATATTTTGACTTATTTCTAGATCGTTTTTGCAGTGTAAGTGACACATTTTGTCAATGGAACAAGACAATTTATATTTAAAATAGGAAAAAACAATTATTTTGTCTTATTTCAAGTGCTTACTATCTAATTATCTTATTTTGAGAGTAATATACTCATTTCATTGGCAAATCATCTCATTTACCTACTCAAATTAAAGGTAAA